TGCTAGGGATATAATGGTGAATAAGACAGATGTAATTCCTACCCTCCTGGAATATACAGCCTAGGATAGAGAGAGCTAAAAAAAATATGGAATCACCAAAATAAATAAAACAATTACAGTTGAGTGCTGGGAAGGAAATAAACAGAACTTCTTTTTTTTTTTTTTTTTTAAGATTTTATTCACTTGGGGCACCTGGGTGGCTCAGTGGGCCTCTGCCTTCAGCCAGGGTCGTGATCCCAGAATCCTGGGATCAAGCCCCACATCGGGCTCTCTGCTTGGCGGGGAGCCTGCTTCCTCCTCTCTCTCTGCCTGCCTCTCTGCCTACTTGTGATCTCTGTCTGTCGGATAAATAAATAAAATCTTAAAAAAAAAAAAGTTTTTATTCACTTATTTGACACACCGAGAGAGAGAGGGAGAAAGCACAAGCAGAGGAAGTCACAGAGGGGGAGGGAGAAGCAGGCTCTCTGCTCAGCAGGGAGCCCGATGAGAGGCTTGATCCCAGGACTCTGGGACCACAACCCCAGTCAAAGGCAGATGCTCAACCCACTGAGCCATTCAGGCACCCCTAAGCAGAACTTCTTAATAGAGAATAACATTGCAGACCTTTATTCATGATTATGGAAGATCTCTCTGAGGCAGTAACACTTAAACAGATCTGCCAAAGGAGAATCCATTAGAATAACCAAAGGAATATTGTCCTAAACAACAGGAAAGGGGCACCTGTGTGACTCAGTGGGTTAAGCCTCTGCCTTCAGCTCAGGTCATGATCTCAGGGTCCTGGGATCGAGCCCCACATCAGGCTCTCTGCTTGGTGGGGAGCCTGCTCCCCCCTCTCCCTGCCTCTCTGCTTACTTGTGATCTCTCTCTCTCTCAAAAAAAACCCCCAAAAAACTTAAAAATAAATAAATAAACAACAGGAAAGACAAGACAAGAATTAAACTCACCCTAGGAACTGGAAGATCAATAGGGTGGAGATCTATTGATCAAGGGAAAGAGTGACCAAAGACAAGTGTGAAGAGCTTTTAAATGATCAAAAGAGAAGTAGTAAAGAAAGACCTGATGGGTGTCTGGTGGCTCAGTCCGCTAAGCATCAGACTCTTGGTTTCCACTCAGGTAACAATCTCAGGGTCATAGGATCGAACCCCATGGGGCTTTGAGCTGGGCATAAAAGCCTGCTTAGGATTCTCTCTCTCCCTTTCCCTCTACCACTACCTGCCTCACTCACATGTACTCACTTTCTCTCTCTCCTCCCTGTCTCCCTTAAAAAAAAAAAAAAAAAATCTGAGACTTCCAAAGCTGCCTAAAGGGTATAAAACGCAAATTTCTTTTCATGACCATAAATACTTCACTATTTATCACTATTTACTCCACTAATCCAGCCTCATCTCTCCTCTGGTTCCTCTCAAACAACTGACACTCTAGGCACCTTGGATGATTTACTCTTCCCCAACAATTCTGCACACTTTTCATTGATCCTGACTTTGTGCTATATCCTCAAACTAGTAAAAACTTGCCTTCCATTCAATCTGGTGAGCTATTTCTTCTTTAAGGCAGAAACGTCACACTTGGGTACACATACCTCTGGGATTCACAAACACTTTCCAAACAGTGCAGGAGCAAGAACGGTTTCAGAGTAATCAATTTCCAGGTCCTCAAGTTCAGTTGTACTCTTTCCTAAGATTGACCTGCCTGGGAATTCCTTAAGGTAAAGCTGTGCTTTCACATCTACCTTCTCCCACTTTTGTGGGACGGGGGAAACAGGGACGGTGGGGGGATGGGCATGCGGGGAGGGGGGAAGGGCTAGAGAGAGAATCTTAGGCAGACTCCTCACAGAGCATGAACCCCGATGTGGGGCTCGATCTCACAACCCTGAGCTCATGATCTGAGCCAAAATCAAGAGTCCAACACTGAACTAACTAAACCATCCAGGTGCCCCTACTTTCTCCCACTTTAAAACAAAAGGCAGGCATGGAATGAAAAGATGATTTGAAATACTGCTGTAAGTTTTAATGTAAATTAGTGATTCTTAGGCTGAATAACAGCTTTTAAAAAATTCTTTATTTTCAACAAAACTGAGGGAAGACCCACTTAGGATGTCAGTTGATAAGTCCTTAAAATAACTTTTGATAACAGATGGTGTTTTGAGCTGAATTTTGTCCCTCCCTCCTAAAGATATGCAGATATACTAACATCCAATACCTTACATGTGACTTTCTTTGGAAATAGGGCCTTTCCAGAGAACCAGAAGACATATAGGGAGAAGATAGCCATGTGACTGGTATGATGCATCCACAGGGCAAGGAGCGCCAAAGATTACCAGCAAACCACAAAAGCTGGAAAAGGCAGGACTCCTCTAGAGTCCTCCGAGAGCTTGGCTCAGTCAACATCTTGATTTCAGATTTTTAGCCTCCAAAACCATAAGATAAAAAAATTGTGTTGTTTTATGCCACCCAATTTTAAGTACTTTCTTACAGCACCCCTAGGAAAAGAATACAGATTTCTACATATAGCTTTTAGCATGTAATTTCCAAAGAGTTCAAAATAGTTGAGAGACAGTATTTAAAAAACTCCTACTTTCATCTACTTATTTATGTTAACCAATTTTTTCATAACATCCATGAAACTAAAAAGGGGGGAAATAGGATTTGGTCCTTTGTAACAAAAAGTAATGTCCATCCAAAGATTTATAGCTACTTTTAAAATTCCTTCCTATGCCATTAAATGAGATATTTCTAAGAAATTCTACTTTATAAAAATTATTAATTAAAATGTAAAACACATTATGTTGGTATAGTAATTTATTAATAATAATTTATCAATTTATTAATCATTTATTTCATATTTCACTAATAAGAAATGTTTAATATTTAGTTTTATGGCCCTAGAAAATTTTTAATTTCAATTATTTATTTATTTACATATTTTTGTTGCAGGGCAATATAATAAGATGATCCCTAAAAGACGTTTAAGAATAAATATATATGGGGGTACCTGGGTGGCTTGGTCAATTGAACATCTGCTTTCAACTCAGGTCATGATCCCAGGGTCCTGGGACAGAGTCTCCATTGGGCCCCTGCTCCATGGGGAGTCTGCTTCTCTCTCTCCCTCTGCCCCTCCACCTGTTCATGCTCTCTCCCGCTCTCTCGTGTAAATAAATAAATAAATCTTTTTTTAAAAAGAATACATATATATTACATGAGGTTAAAATTTGTGGGGGAGATGAAGTCCAAATGAAAAGAGAATCATTTAAATTTCCTACTACTAAAGAATTTCTGGGGCGCCTGGGTGGCTCAGTGGGTTAAGCCTCTGCCTTCGGCTCAGGTCATGATCTCAGGGTCCTGGGATCGAGCCCCACATCGGTCTCTCTGCTCAGTGGGGAGCCTGCTTCCTCCACTCTCTCTCTCTCCGCCTGCCTCTCTGCCTACTTGTGATCTCTCTCTGTCAAATAACTAAATAAAATTTAAAAAAAAGAATTTCTTATTCTTGTACTTTTTAAAAGAAAGATGGAAAATGCCAAATCAATATATTATTTAGATGTGACTGAATACATTAGTAAAAGTGATTTAAGATTTTTATTTTTAAATGCATATGTTAGCACTATCTGGAAATTCTATTAGATGTTACTTTATACTATGTGAATGAGTTTATATTAATAAAAATTTTTCTGGAAAGCATGTGAGCCAAAGAAGTTTGAAGACCTTTGTTTTTATTTCAGTAGGCTTCATGCCCAGTGTGGAGCCGGTGAGGGCTTCAACTGACAACCCTGAGATCAAGACCTTGGTTGAGATCAAGGGTCAGATGCTTAGCTAACTGATTCACCCAGGTGGCTCTTGAAGACCCTTATTTTAAGGTCCATCTGAAACACTATTTCCTCTGAAAAGTCTCCCCTGTCCTTCCTTTCTCTTCTTCCTCAGAACTCATCTGCAGCTTGCTACAGCATATAAAATACTGTAATATAGGTTTAAAGGTTAGTTGTTTACCCCTTCTCCCTACTCCCTTGGAGGGCTGGAACAATATGTTATTTATCTTTGTGTTCTCATGCCTGCCATGACTATAAGTGCAGAATACATATTTACTAATTTATTTGAATTTATAAAGTTCATAAAAATTTTCCTGATATATCTCATGTCCTAGAGTTTACAGTGGGAATAGGTTATAGAATTTTTCTAGAAGAATATACATTTTAATCCCAAGTGCACTGAGAAAATGTCTGGTTCTACCTAGAGAAAATTAACTGAGGCCATGTAAATGACCCTAAGCCATTTGATACATATAGTCTAGTGGGTATCTCCTACAGAAACACCAGGAAAGCTAAGTAAAAATGTTAGAGAGTGATTTGGGACTAACTGATTAAAGAAACAAAAGCTTTTGCTCTTTTCAGGGAAAAAAAAAAAAAAGAGACCAAACCTGTAGGCTAGTACTACAAGTAGAGAACAGTCAGGAAGTTGGTGTGATAGTTAACTATTCATAGTGCAGTAAATATCAGATCACCTAATAAACACCAAGTCTGGGAAAGACTTAGTGATTTCTTTAAATAAACTAAGGAGGTAAGTTTGCTTTGAATGTTTCCAAATTCTGAGTAGATTAATAACACTACTCTCCTAACTATAGGAGATAACTCTCCTATAACTAACTCTCCTAACACTACTAGGTGAATGAAAATAACTGTTTTAACACATTGTCCAGCTCCTATTGTGGCTCACCATTAAGGATAAACTCTATTTCAAATTTCTTTACTTTTTTCTCTTCTTCCTCTTCTTTTTTTTTTTCTTTCTTCCTTCCTTTCTTTTAAAATTAGATATCAAAACATCAGTTGGAACCCTCTTCATAAGTCTTCCAAATCCAAATTATTAAAGGAATATTATTCTATACATGATTATATCCTTACACAGATATGTTTATATAAACCTTTATATTCTTAAAAATGTAACATGGAATTGTACTAATCAGTATCACTCTCACATTTGGATTTTTCAATTAAGAGTATGTTTAGAGGGTTCGAGATGGCGGCGGCGGCAGCGGCGGGGGACTCTGATTCTTGGGACGCGGACACGTTCTCCGTGGAAGACCCGGTGCGGAAGGTGGGGGGCGGCGGCACTGCTGGTGGGGACCGCTGGGAAGGCGAGGACGAGGACGAGGACGTCAAGGATAACTGGGATGATGATGATGATGAAAAAAAAGAGGAAGCAGAAGTAAAACCAGAAGTAAAAGTTTCAGAAAAGAAAAAAATAGCAGAGAAAATAAAAGAGAAAGAACGGCAACAGAAGAAAAGGCAAGAAGAAATTAAAAAGAGGTTAGAAGAACCTGAAGAACCTAAAGTGCTAACACCAGAAGAACAATTAGCAGATAAACTGCGACTAAAGAAATTACAGGAAGAATCAGACCTTGAATTAGCAAAAGAAACTTTTGGTGTTAATAATACTGTTTATGGAATAGATGCAATGAACCCATCTTCAAGAGATGACTTCACAGAGTTTGGAAAGTTACTAAAAGATAAAATTACACAATATGAAAAGTCACTATATTATGCCAGTTTTTTGGAAGCTTTAGTTCGAGATGTGTGTATTTCATTGGAAATTGATGACTTGAAAAAGATTACCAATTCACTGACTGTGCTTTGTAGTAAAAAACAAAAGCAAGAAAAGCAAAGCAAAGCCAAAAAGAAGAAGAAAGGTGTGGTCCCTGGAGGGGGATTAAAGGCTACCATGAAAGATGATCTGGCAGATTACGGTGGCTATGATGGAGGATATGTACAAGACTATGAAGACTTCATGTGACATTTTCTCTTCTCCTGGTGTCTTCTTTCTGTTGCCCACAATCCCTTCAACATGTAGCACAACTTCCTTTCCTTTCAGTTCTGCCAAATGCTACAATCAGAAGTGCAGTATCTTTTGTGCTGGTTATTTAGCCCCTTGACACTTAGGTGCTAATGTGCGAATGAGGGAACTTGGATCTTGCTGCCAAGGGGTTAAAATTGGGAACCTCAGTTGCTACTAAATCATAGTTTAAAAAAGAAAAAAAAAAAACACACAAAAACCTAATAATGTTGTCATTGTTGCTCTCTGATTCCATAGCAGCAGTCACTGAATTGGAAACAAAGGTTGCAACATGACAAAAATTGTGTAGTATTTACCAGCACCATTCAGTAATACAGCCTTAACCATACCTCCTTGAACTACTTCATAACTTGTCAAGAAAAGCAGTTTGCGGCAAGGGCATGTGGTGTGCACCTAGTATTAAAATTGCTTTGTCTTAAAATTGAGCGTGAGGATATTAAAAAAAATACATTGTGAAGAAGACTGCTTATCTCAGAGTGAAGATGCAACAGCTGAAAAGCACTAGCTTGATATTTAAAAATTAAATGACCAAACCCTCCAACTTTGAAGCTGAAGAAGGTAAACCTCTCCATTATTGCACTGCATTACAACTTGTGGAATCTCTGGAATGCATAGACTGTCTAGTTCCTATTTATCAGACTGTTCTACGGATGGAGTGCTTCAGTTGGGGGAGGGAAGCTCTTTACCTGTTTTATTTCCCTGATTTAAGTGACAATTCTCCTTTGTTCTCTTAGGCTGCAGTGGAATAACTTTAACAGGGTTTTGGCATTTCCTTTCCTTTATAAAACATGCTCAGCAAACTGCACCAGTTGACTACAGTTTGGTAAATTGTTATGTTAACAATTATGACATCTGCAATGTTTTATAAAAGCAACTAATTTAATAAAATCACTATTGTGAGGGGAAAAAAAAAAAAAGAGTATGTTTAGAGGGGTGCCTGGGTGGCTCAGTGGGTTAAAGCCTCTGCCTTTGGCTCAGGTCATTCTCAGGGTCCTGCGATCAAGCCCTGGATCAGGGCTCTCTGCTCAGCAAGGAGCCTGCTTCCCCCTCTCTCTCTACCTGCCTCTCTGCCTACTTGTGATCTCTGTCTGTCAAGTAAATAAATAAAAATCTCAAAAAAATAAAAAGAGTATGTTATATTGTTCCAAATCAATACAAATGGGTCCACCTAACTCATTTTTTTAAAAGATTTTATTTATTAATCTTAAAAAGATAGGTATAATGACAGTACTTATCACGTACAGTTGTAATGAGAATTAGAAGAGTTTACATATGTAAAGTGTTTAATATTGTTCTAAACTAAAGTTTTCAGCATTAAATTATATACGAATCTACCTCGGGGCGCCTGGGTGGCTCAGTGGGTTAAGCCTCTGCCTTCAGCTCAGGTCATGATCTCAGGATCCTGGGATCAAGCCCCCCATCCGGCTCTCTGCTCAGCAGGGAGCCTGCTTCCCCCTCTCTCTCTGCCTGCCTCTCTGCCTACATGTGATCTCTCTCTCTGTCAAATAAATAAAACCTTAAAAAAAAAAAAAAGCTTATATACGAATCTACCTCATTCTTTTTCATAGCAAATAGTAGGTATTCAATAATAAGTATATTCCCTAATTTGTAACTGTATATTGATTAATGTTTAGGACATTTCCAATTCTTTGCTATCACAAATTTAACTGCAATAAGTATCTGAAACAAAAATTATATAACATCTTTTTTTTTTTATTTTTATTTATTTATTCATGAAAGACAGAGAGAGAGAGGCGGAGGGAGAAGCAGACTCCCCACAGAGCAGGGAGCCTGATGCGGACCCCAATCTCAGGACCCTGAGATCATGACCTGAGCTGAAGGCAGTTGCTTAACCAGCTGAGCCACCCAGGCTCCTTGAAAATTACTATTTACTTTCTAATGAAACATTCAGCAACCCATCTACAACATTTTAGTAAATCTGTGAAATTGTAGCAATTAGTAGATACTAGGAAAGAAACTGAAGAGAACTTCCCTTCCTTGACTACCCATCAATTCTTAGTTTTTTTTCCTTTTCTTTTGAAAAAAAAATGTATACCTTTTCCTGACTTAGAAAATCCTCCATCTATAAAAATGAGCTTCTAAATACTAGTAATATTCACAGTTTAAAAAGAAAACAAGAATAAAATATTTTATGAACTAGACCCTTAAAATATGCTTTCTAAGGTCCATGCTATGAGGTTATTTAATGGGAAAAATTACAGACAACATAATCCTTTAATTCTGGAAAAGTCTGAAACAAACCCTCCTCATGATAAAGTGTACTCTTTAGAAAATAGTGTGACTATTTTCTATGAAGTATAGAACATATAACATATGAAGTTCTTCTATTCATATGTTATATCTTTTACATGTTGGGCTTGAAGTATTAATTAAAGGCCTAGAAAAGATGAAGATTTTCAAAAACCTTATTGTTGCTAGCTAGAGAGTCCCTTATTCCACCTAACAAGTATAAATCATGCTCAGAATTCTAAAGATTCTTGAAACTCTCCTTGTAATGTTTTTTGCTTACTAACATAGAAGTTGAAAAGTGTTATGGGGAGGCTAAAACTCTTGCAGTTCACACAGCTAATTGGTGTTTACTGATAGAGTCATTTTTTTATTTCAATAAAAAAGAACTCTAGGACAGATAGCCTGGACTTCTACATTATTTGATAACTTCCTAGGATGATACTCTATATCAATATAAGGCAAAGTAGCTGCAGATTATTGCGTAGTGACTCATACTCAGAGGAATGGTATGGAAAATCTCAGTCTAGCAGTCATTATTTTTTTAAAGATCTATTTATTTATTTTAGGGAGTGAGCACAAGCAGGGGAAGGGGCAGAGGCAATCAGAGAAAGAAAGAGAGAAGCAGACTTTCAGCTGAACACAGAGCCCAACACAGGGTTCTGTATCACGACCCCAAGATCACAACCGAAGCTGAAATTAAGAACCAGGTGCTTGACCCACTGAGCTTTTTTTTTTTTTTTTTTTTTAAAGAGTGTCTCTGGATTATTTATTTATTTATGTATTTGAGAGAGAGAGAGAGCACAAGAGTGGGGTGAGGGGCAAAGGGAGAAGCAGACTCCCTGCTGAGCAGGGAGCCCAGTGCAGGGCTTGATCTCTGGGATCATGACCCAAGCAGAAGGCAGATGCCCAACCAACTGAGCCACCTAGGTGCCCTGAAAGTGTCTCTAAATAGACAAAAATAATTTGTATTACGGATGATAAGCATTTGAAAAATCCAAAAATGCTTGCACTTGATCTTGATGCTTTCTTGATGCCAAGCAGCTGGAGAAAGACAACAAATGATACATGGGTTTCTCTTAAGATGGTAAACTAGTAGAGGATGCTGGCTTCCCTCACCACTATAATCAGTTTTGGAAGTATTTTAAGACACAAAGAATTTATTATTGGGATTATCTTGGCACCCTTATAAATCATTTGACAGTATATCAGTGGTTTATTCTTGGCTGTGTATTTTATTCCATTAGTTTATGTCTCTATGCCAGTGCCCCACTGTTTTAATTACTGTAATCTTATAATGAGTTTTGAAACCAAGAAGTGTGAGTGCCCTAGTTTTCTTCTTTTTTGATTGTTATGGCTATTTAGGGTCCCTTGAGATTGCATATAAATTTTTTTAAAGATTTTATTTATTTATTTGAAAGAGATCACAAGTAGGCAGAGAGGCAGGCAGAGAGAGAGGAGGAAGCAGGCTCCCTGCTGAGCAGAGAGCCTGATGTGGGGCTCGATCCCAGGACCCTGAGATCATGACCTGAACCGAAGGCAGAGGCTTTAACCCACTGAGCAACCCAGGCGCCCCATAGATTGCATATAAATTTAAGATGGATTTTCCTATTTCTTCATAAATCCTGTTAGTGTTTCATTGGGGACTGCATTGAATCTGTAGATTATTTTGTGTGGTATAGTCATCTTAACAATATTAAGTCTTCCAATCCATGAACATCAGATGTCTTTTCATTTATTCATATGTTCTTTAATTAATTTCAGTGATGTTTTATAGTTTTTAAAGTAAATTTTACTTAAGAAAGTAAAATTCTTTCATGTCCTTGATTGGGTTAATTCTTAATTCCTTAGTATTGTATTTTTATTGATGCTATCATAGAGAGAAAGAAGGGAGAGAGAGAATCTTAAGCAGGTTCCACAGCCACTGGACCCCAATGTGGGGCTTGATCTCTCAACCCTGAGATCATGACCTGTGCAAAAATCAAGAGTCAGACACCTAACCAACTGAGCCACCCAGATCCCCAGCCTGTTGGTGCTATTATAAATAAAACTGTTTCTTAATTTCTTTTTTTTACTATTCATGTTATTGTGTAGAAAACTGATTTTTGCATGTGATTTTATATTCAACTATTTTCCTGAATTTTTTCCTGATTGGAGAAGAAAAATTTTGAAACTATCACCATTACGTATGATGTTAGCTGTGGGTTTTTCATAAGTGACTTCTATTATGTTGAGATAGTTTCCTTCTGTTCCTAATGTATTGAGCACTTTTATCATAAAGAGGTGCTGAATTTTATCAAATGTTTTTTTCTGTATCAATTAAGATGGTGGATTGTTTTTTTTCCCCTTCATTCTTTTAATGGGATTAATGGCATTGATTGATTTTTATATGTTGAACCATTCTTCGTTTCAGAGCTAAAATCCCATTTGGTTATTTATTTAAGCTTTTTTTTTTTTTTTTTTTTTAGATTTTATTTATTTGACACAGCAAGAGAGGGAACACAAGCAGGGGGAGTGGGAGAGAGAGAAGCAGTCTTCCCCCACAAGCAGGAAGCCCAAAGCGGGGCTCCAACCCAGGACGCTAGGATCATGACCCAAGTCCAAGGCAGAGGCTCAATGACTGAACCACCCAGGCGACCCTATTTAAGCTTTTCAATATTTGTTGAATTCAGGTTGCTAGTATTTTGTTGAATATTCTTGCATCAATATTCATAAAGAATATCATACCAGTCTTTGTTTTTCTTTTCTTGTAGTGTCTTTGTTTGGCTATAGTATCAGGTTATGGTAGCCTTATTGAATGAATAAATTAGGAAGTGTTTCCTCCTCTTCAATTTTTTGGAAGAGTTTCGTGTTAGTTCATCTTTGAATGGTGGAATTCACCAGTGAAACTAGGATAGGGTCAAGAAAGACATCAGATTCTCGGGATTTAATTATATAGTTACAAGGGAGCCAAGTGAATTACTTTCACTAATTCTTGCAATTCTTATAGAAATGCAATATTGCTTTTAAATTATAATTTTTTTTCTAGATAGGGGTTCTTTGCCTTGTTTTTTCCCACCAAAATATCTCTCACTGCATAGCTCAGAGAATCAATAAGGGAGATTCAGCCAGTTACTGAATATGTTATTCCAATTATGCATTATGGAACTAGAGGAAAAACTAAGATGTGTTTGGAAAGTCACTGAGCCTACAGTGTGACAGACCTGAAGTAAAAGTCCTTTGATCATCTGACTTCCATAAGCTTTTACTCTGACTGGTCGACTACAGTGACATATTGAGTTTCTCAAAATTAGTGTCAGAGCCAGTGTCCGGTAGTCCCTGAAAAGTCTGATTATTTCCTTTTCTCCAAAATACAGTTTTCTGGTAAAAAGTCATTGGTTCCCTTGGTGAAGGCTGAAAGATTAACAGTATAAATTTTTGGCAGTATACTAGAGTCTTTCCTCACAAGGATCTGGCATCTCCCTTTTTTAAGAGGTTTGGGGAATTAAGGGGCTATGACTCTCTGATTTTATGATTCAGGTTAGACATTTATGTAATTGACCTAGAAATTTTCCAATTATACAAGTCAAGTAAGAATTTAGTAGGTTTTCCACCTATCTCATTTTTAAAAACACCATGGTCAGCTAGCCAATTCCATAGATTTGCTGAG